ATGTATACCTAGAAGTGGAATTGCTGGATTGCATGCCAGGTTTCACTGTTGTTTTATGTTTTTGGTGGTGGTTGGTTTGTTTTGGTTTTGTCCAGTGGTAGAGTTCAACTCACCAGCCTCTCACATGCGAGTCAAGCATCTACCTCTGAGGTCTCGCTCCAACTCTTTTTACTTTTTAAAAAATTTGGATGTGAACTGCTCAGGCTGGCCTCAAATTTGCAGTCTTCTTGAGTGACTGTTGTAGTTTTACTTTTTTGTTTTTGTGTTGGTGCTGGTCTTGGTAAGTTGCCCAGGACTTGAACTTGTGATCCTTCTGCTTCCGTCTGCCTCAGTGCTGGGGTTACTGGTGTGTGCCTGGTCCTTAGCCCATTAAACAATTGTCTTTTTGTTGTTATTAAATTGGAGTTCTTTATGCTTTTGGAAATGAATTCTTTATCAGACATATAATTTGCAAATATTTTCTCTTTTTCCACGCAGGCTGTGTTTAGAGGTTTTTGCATTGTACCTGGTCATTGCAGCACCAAAAACTAGAAATAAACCAAATATTCTTAAGTAGGAAACTGAGTAATCTCAAGTTATGCAGACAATGAAGCTGTGTTCGTTTAAAGGACTGATAGTTTTGTACATAATTAAATACAAGGTTGAGCAAAAGGAAAAGCTTTAAAACTATAGAATATGGGCTTTGGACTGGGGATTTAGCTCAGCGGCATAAGCACCTGCCTTGCAATCAGGCAGTCGTGAGTTCGATCCCCGATACCAATAAAAAAAATTTTTTTTTAAATGGATAAAAAAGAATATGGGCTGCGGGATATTGTTTGATGGTAGAGTGCTTGTGTAGCATGCATGAGACTCTGGCTCTGGGTTTGATCCTTCGTACTGGGAAAAATACTCCCCACTTGCTCCCCATTATGTGATTCTGATCCTGAGAGAAAACTGTATGTATGTGTATATGTATGTATGTATGTGTATATATCTGTATTATTATTTTATATTGTATTATATTTATTTATTGGTACCAGGGATCGAACTCATGACTGTGTGCTTGCCAGGCAGGCACTTCTGCCACTGAACTAAATCCCTGGCCCTTGTTTTTTTTATTTTAAAGAAAGTAAAATCCAACAAAACCAAACAGAACAAAGCTGATCAAAAAAAGAAAGCAGCAAAATTGGTATAGAACTTCAAAGTGAGATACTGGGAAATTAACAATAGCTACCATACTATATTTTGTTATATTCACAATAGTTGTCCATTCCATCAGATATATAGCAAAATCAAGCCAAAAACAAAACAGAATATTGAGTAAAGCAAATCAATCAAAATAAAACACAATGGTGAGAAAATATTGGGTTTCAAAGACAAGATAAAGGAAACCTCCCATATTTGCTATGTTGCATGCTATCATCCTCCCAAGAGATGCTCAGACTGCTGGCCTCAGGCCTGCAAAATCAACCAAACAATACAACATTTAGTTGCTTTATGTACCTTAGTTGCTATCAACTTAGCCTGTACTGCAAACCAGCAGGTTGCTTATGAGGTAGGGTGGGAGTAGGTGTTTGATTCTCCCATGTGCCACTAGATATAGGAGATGTACTCAATTTTCTCTTCCTGAGAGCTGTGTGGCTTGCATGCTTACCAGAAAGGCTGGCTGGTTGGCTTCTTGTTGGATCTTCCCAGCCCCAGCATGATAGATTCGTGTGTATATATTATCTGTTTGTCTGTCTATCTACCTATCTATCTATCTATCTATCTACGCATCAGTCATCTATCTTATGTTGATACGTTCTTAGAAAAAGACAGATTCACTCGGAGTTGGAATGTAATACAGAAACTTACTTTTTTACTTTGTGCACTTGAATATTATTTGATTTTCTATGAACATATTTTGTATCCATAATTTTAAGACACATAGGCTGAAAGTATATATCTGACCAGAAAGATTCACAGTTATGTGTTTCAGATACCTCAAAAAATGAATTCTTAGACAAATCTTACCAATTAGCATCTTCTTAAAAAGTAAGTTACTTTTGCCTTTATAGTCGTTTTTTTAAACATTGATTTGTGTGTGTGCATGGGGGGGACTTTAGGGACTGAATGTAGGGTCTTACATGTGTTGACCACATACTCCACACCATGTTATACCCCCAGCTCATTAACCTTCAAATATCATTTTAGGAGAGGTGGAGCAGAAAGGAACTCAAGTCTAGGGAGATGCTTTATCCAGAGTCAGAATTTAGCTTAGAGTTCGGTTTAAAAGAAATCAATGAGGAAAAGGATGATTTTAAAATATGAATTGAAGATGCAATTCCATTTCCCAGTTACTGTGTTCCTCTTTACCTCCTCCTCATTTTTTTTTTTTTTTTAAGCCTTCTGTGGTGCTAACAGATGCATCTCTGCTTGCTCACTAGGAACTGTAGGAAGGGCTGGAGAAAATGTTCATTGCAAGGAAGGATGGGGAGTTGTATGGAATGGTAAACAACAGGTGTAGACCGAGGAGTTTGAACAATCTCTTAAGAACCGCACAGTGTAGGAAGCCAGGGCTTCTCAGAGGCTTTAGAAGCTCCAGGCGGGATAACTGGTCATCAGAATACCTAAAGATCGGTTACTGTAAGGAAACCAGGAGGCCTGGTGGGTACTCAATTTGTATTAGCCCTCGGGCCACAAGCCCCATGAATTTGCAAGCAGCACCAAACTTTCCAGCAGTTTCCTTGTGGTAAGACCGTCTCTGCTTTAAAGTGCTGACAGGTCAGGCACCCCAAGGGGTTCTATGTACACAGTGGAACATTGCCAGCCCACTCTCACTCCTGGGGAGAGGATGCAAGAGGATGTGCAATTTAATGAGATAATGCCAAGCATCTTCTTTGGGTTTAGCTTCAGAGGGCCTGGGTCTCTGGGGATGGCTGCTGGTTGGATACAAGAGATTTCTTAACCCAGTCTTCACAGCCATTGAGACAGAGGTGGCTGCACACAGGTTAGTGTCTCATAGCTAAGATCTTACAAAGTTGCCTGATATAAGACTTCCATAAAAAGAATGTTTTTGTTCTACATGGAATTTGCAATAGCTAAAACTTCTGTGGTGTTTACAATGTGCTAGCTACTGTTCTGGATATATATTTATATTATATATACAAAAATGTAAATCTTTTATTATTCCTTGCAGTAGTGCTATGAAATAAGTACAAACAGTATCTCTGCTGTTCAGATGAGGAAAGAGGAAGAGGTTAAATGGTTTGTCCAAAGTATCTTACAAAACACAAACAAACAACCAAATAGCAGCACTAGGACTGAGGAGCCCAGCTGCTGTGGCTCTGGAGTCTGCTCTGAACCGTGGCATTCCATTTCCTTTCCAGATTCTTTGAGTCTGCATTTAACAATTGGGAAATTTTACATTACAGTATGGAGAGCTGGTTCCCTTGAAAACTCAGAACAGAAGATGCTGGGCTGCATCCCCTATGGTCACGATTGGCTGGTGCCTTGCCAGGCTGGCCCCCTTAGCAGGGTGGCATTCTCGGGCCCACCTTGGTCCCCCTAATCCCTCTCCTTCCTGACCCGAGTCCCTGTCAACTTGACTTACACCTATTTCAACTTACAGACATATTTATTTAAATTGCAGAGCTGGAGATTGAACCCAAAACCTCAAGCATGCTAGGCAAATTCTCTACCACTGAGATACAACCCCATTTTGGACCTACAGATGTGTTTGTTTTCAGTCCCTGGACTTAGGTTGTATGATAATATGACGATTAGGAATATTTAGAAAAGAGTGAGGTTCTTTTTCCCTCAAGGAGTGTTTTCTCTTCATTTTTCTTCTCTCTTTTTATAATTTTCTTTTTTTGGTACCAGTAATCAAGCTCAGGACCTTGCACTTGCCAGGCAGGCACTTGTGCCACTGAGCTACATCCCCGGCCCTATAATTTTATTTTTTAATTGATATATGAAAACAAAAATTATACATGTTGGGCTGGGGGTGTGGCTCTGTGGTAGACCCAGCACTGAAAAGAAAGTACATATTTATATGGAGTACCATGTGAAATTTTGATACTGGCATATATTATGTAATATATAAATTAGGTTAAACATAGCTTTTCCTCAAACATGTATGGTTTCTATATGGTGAAGACATTCAAAAACTTTTTTTTCTAGTTTTGAAGTATGTTACTATCAAAGAGCACACCAGGATTCCAGGATTCCTCCCTCCATGTCATAATTTACTGAGTACTTACTTTTTGCATGAATTGAGGTATAGACCAGGACTCATGGGGAGTAACAGAGGCAGCGTCTGGACTTCACCTTCCCGCGGGCTGTGATTTCATTACTGGTAGAATCTGCCTTCCCTTGTGGTCTGGGGGTTCCCGGGGCCGTGAGATTGTAGGGGAAAGTCAGTCATGCAAGCAGCAGCAATCCTGGTGCTGAGGGAATCAATATAAAGAAGCCCAGCGAAGAGCTTTTGCGTCTGCACTCAGGGGTCTCTGGCTGCAGAGAACACAGTCAGCTGCCTAGAACTATTGAATGAAAAACAGACAGGAGGGGCTGTGTACTGAAGGCTGATGAGAGGAGGAAATCTGACAAAATTTTAAAAAGTGAATCAACACTAGTAGAAATTGAAAAATATTTAATGACTTTTCCCTCCTCTTAGATCTGGAGAAAATGCGGTTTTTTCCTAGCCTGTATCATGAAGGCTTTTCTTCTTCTTTTCCTTCCTGCTTTTTTGTTTTTGGTGAGGCAACGATACAGTTTTGTTCCATTTCTCAAACAAATTTATTTGCAAACCCCCAGCATTCCGTGTAAGTGGTTTGGGAGTTGAAGCACAAGAGCAGCTGAGAAAGGAGGTTTTGGCCTGGCTATTGTCTGACCAGGTGTGTTGGGGGCCCTGAACCTTCAGAAGCTTTTGTGTTTCCATCTGTACCAAGGGATTAGTGGCTTAGTCGACCTCATGGGAGCAAGTTTTATTGTTATGTCTTATAATGCAGAAACTATAATATTATGTTTTGTTTTTTACACAGCACCATCTGCTTCGGGATCTCAGCGTGCCCAGCGTTTCTCCCCCCGACTCTCTCCTTCCACGTAAGTTTCGGGTGCAGAAGAGTGACTTAACTTCCGACAGAGCAGCAGATGTGCGGTCATCCGCCACTGGGGCATCAGCACCTAAGGCAGGCAGGGCGGCGTGCGGGACCGAAACGAGGTTCACGCAGAGTGGCTCCTGCCTCCAGGCCCCGAGGTGGGCCATGTATGACAAAGGCAAGCAAAAGAATTTAAGAGCTATAGGAAATAAAACAGTGAATGATGGCAGGGAGAAGAAAGAACGTGCAGGCCAAGATTAATTTCCAAGTGAAGGCTGCAGGTGTGAAGCACCGTAGGAAGTCTGAGTTCTCTTTCATAAAGTTCCTCCTGCAGGAGTGGCGCAGTCCGGAGTGAATGTGCAATTAGAGGGACACTTTGGTGGGAACAAAGCTGCTTGTGTAAGTGTGTGGGGGAGCCTTGCTCTCTTCCACACAGCCCGGAAATTCATTTTGTAACAAAGCACTATAATTCCAGTCAATGACACCTTCTAGATCCTCCCAGACTATGCCCAAAATTATAGAGGAGGACGGCGAGTGAGTTCCCTTCAGTCAGAACTGGATAGCTGTGTGCTTTGCTCAAATGCCTGGGATCTAATGGAGATGGGCCAGCAGCCAGGAGATAAAACAAGTCAATACAGGACCCGGAGAGCGCTGATGCCGGGCAGATAATGAGGAAAGGGCTGGGATTTGAAAGCATGACCTTTAAGTCTTCGTGTAATGAACAGAATCTAATGGAGAGCTGAGATCTGAGACCCCATTCACCTGTGTCCCAGGCTATCCAGCCAGCAGCCGGCCCGTTCCCCAAGATAAGGTAGATGAGCTCTGTGGGAACATAATGGCCTTCAGGCTATCTCCGTTGCTCAGTGAAACGAACAGAAGGCAGGAGATTCCCTCTAGAGAAGACAGGCGTGGGGCTTAGTGGTTGAGAACTTGAACTTTGGCAGCAAGAGCCAGCTCCCTCACTGATGAGCTGTGTGGCACTGAGCAACTCACTGACCCTCTCTGATTTTCAGACTTATCTGCAAAATAGGAGAGGAAAATGAGAGTAGCCAAGTGTGGTGGAGGTGTATGCCTGTAATCCCAGCTGCTCAGGAGGCCACTGCAGGAAGACTGTGACCTAAAGTACTTATAGTGTGGGATTATCATGAGTATGTATGGCACACCGAAGTACACATTAAAGTGTATCTATTCTATTATTATTAAAGAAAGTGACCATAGGGGCTGGGGCTGTAGCTCAGTTGGTAGAGCACTTGCCAGGTCCTAGGTTTGCATGTTTGTTTTCTAGAGAGAGTTCTGGAGTTTTCAACAGTTTTTTTTTGGGGGGGGGGGAGTGTGGAATCTGTTTGCTGTAGAGGATGAAGAAGCATGCACTTTTCTACTCAAAGCTCACAATTATTCTTTGGAAACCTTGTTTATTTGAAAGTATTATCAGTTTAAGTTATTTAGGTTGCACATTAAAAATTTCCTGGGGGGAATACGTTAGTATAAAATGTCCGAGATAGTTAATTTATAAAGGGAAAGGGCTTATATGACTCATGATTTTAGAGGTTCCAACTCATGATCAGATAGACTCTTTACTTTGGGCCTCTGGTGGCAGTGCCAGACGACAGTGGTGAGGATTGCATGGCAGAGTAAGCTAGTCACCTCATGGCCGAGAAGCAAAAAGATGAGGAAGAGGCTGAGTCCCACAGGCCCAATCCCCGCCTTCTAAGAGCATGAAATCCCGTAACCTTGGACATCCCACGAGGCTTCTCTTCCTAAAGTCTATAGTACATCACAATTTCACCATGCTGGGAACCATGCATTGACCATAGGGACTGTTGGGAGATACTGAACATCCAAACTGTAGCAGTGTATTTATGGGACTTGGTCTTCAAGCAAGGCATAGCCCAAAGGTCCACTTTTATTAAGGACACGGCTCCCCAACCCCTTCATAGTTACCAGGGTCTGAGTCTTTTCCCCCTGGACTTAATGGACTTCCATGCCTCATGTTCTTATCAACCTGAATGCTTTGTATTAATTTTCAGACCAGGTATGCAGGGTTCCTATGCAGGATCTTATTATAGTCCTGTTTATAAGTGAAACAAGCCCATAGCTATTGATGTTTCACTTTGTGCCAGGCCCATCACATGCCACATCTCACTGCATCTTCACCAAGAGCCACGAAGGTGGCTGGACCTGTCATCCCTCTGTTATAAACAAGGAGTCTGAACATGCAGAAGTCAGGAAAGTTATTCAAGGGATGGAGATGACAAGAAATGAGTCCAAGTGTCAACCTGAAATGAACTGCATCAGAGCCCACAGACTCAACAGATCCACTGTGTCGTTTCTTTCACTGCCACAAAGTCATCGGGTGTTTACTAAGTGTCAGCTTTAGATCTCACACAGTATTTGGCAAGACTGAAGATGACAAAATAGACAGTCCTTGCCTGTAAGGAACTGACACTTCAAGGGGCATTTGTAGCTAGTGAAGAGAATACTTATCAGGCAAACAGAGCAAAAGCACGAAAATAATACCAAAATGCCACGTAAGCGACACAGGCTGTGCACTAGTGGCCTGCTCCGATCTTGACAGCCTCATCTCCATGGCTTGCTTTTGGAAATCCACTTGCCTGTGGCTCCCCAATCCCCTTTCTACTTTATCCATCCTTACAGATTCCCTTCCTAGTTTTTATCTTCTCCTTGGGTGACCTCAGCTTGTCCCCAGGAGAAACCACTAACAATTTGGCTCCCCAGTTCTGGGTCTGTGGCAAACTCCCAGCTGACATCCACAGCGCTTGGGGGTGACCTAGTTTGAGTGAAATGCTTGGCTTTTCAGTTGTATGTTCAATAGGCCGAGTTGGCAGCTTGTCAGCAGGCTGATGTCATCTAATGACCATGGCAATCCCCTCTTCGCCTGGCTTCCTGTTAGTAAATATCCTCAGGATGCTCTTGGAACCCAGAAGGTATGGGAGGCCTTGAGAGAGCTCCCTCTCTCTCCCCTGCCAAAAGACAAAACAACAAAACGAAAGAAAAAAAGAAAGAAAGACAAAGAAAAAAAGGAGCAGAAAGATCTTGTCCTCCCTGCCACAAGGCAAAAAGGAAAAATTCTGCAGGACAGAGGGAGAGCAACTTGCAGTGAGTTGTCTCCCTAACAGAACAGTTCTGCTCTTAGAAAGACATTAGCGTTTTCTTCTTATCCCCTCTCTGATTGTCTTTATTTCCCTCCTCTTGTGCTTCCTTCCTGCTTGGCACTGTTATAGAGGTATTATTTCTCGTCCACATCAGTGACCTGCAGGGAGTAAGTGCAGGGACATTTCCTCCCCTGTGGCTCTCGTTGCATATTTAATAATAATCTCTCCCTCTCCGCTTCCCTCGGTGTCTCTTTATACATATTTTCTTATGGCTGAGAGGAAGAGCTTTAGGGGTGCCCCTGAAGTCCCTCAAAGGCTAACTGTTGCATCTGGAGTCCTGCGTCACAGCCTCGCCCTGTGAGTGTGGATGGTGCCTCTGCGGAGCAGTGGCTCCTACTTGTGGGGTGCAGGAATCTCAGGAGTGGCTCTAGGGATTCTAGGCCTTGCCAGCCCTATGGGATTTGGGTTAAAGATTGCAAACAACAGTGGTGATACCTCTCTGTCAGGTTTTGCCAGAGGCTATAAAGTCATCCTTTGAGGCCTGCTCACTTCTAGGGTCCACTCCAAAGACTGTCCCAGGAGAAGGCAAAGTTCAAGTTTGCATAAACTGTGAGAACAGATGGGTTGATGAGAGTCCTCTCTGTGTCACTTTCTCCGAACAGGTAAAAACATGGAGCTGTAATCCTGAAGGTTACTCTCAAAGTTTCCCAGGAGAATACTGTTCTGAATACGTATCTCCAGAGATTCAGCCTTTCTTTCCTTCCCTCCTCTGGGTGGTTAGCTCATCCATCCATGTCTTTGTGCATAAGCACTTATGGGGCACTTTCCTGCCAAGCACTGGGTGAGTGCCACAGATAAAGCCCTGCCCTCATGGTGTCTCTGATCCCTGAGGACAGGCAGATAATCAAACCATAAGACCCTTAACACATAAGCCCAGGCTGGCACCCTGCTGTGGAGGGAAAGATCAGGATGCTGCGATGGAGAGGCTTGGTGAGGCCCACTCGAGGTGGTGACATTCGAGGCCAGATGCCAAAGATGAGGCAGAGTCTGCAAGTGGAGAGCTGGCAGGTGTTCTGAGCAGTCCCTACCAGGGCTCAGCTAGTATGCAGGTCCCTTGGCAATGTGAGCTTGGCAAACAGTTGCTTAAATAGAAACATATGGAATTTTGGGCTAGGTTGTGCTGGGTTGCTGATGAATGTTAACAAAGGCAGTGATATAAAAGAAATTCAGTTGTCTCCTTCACGCTGGCTGGACCTGGGAGAAGAGCATCACTATATCAGTTATTTGTCTTTTGGAAACTTGGGGCCCAAGTGTCAGGGTTTAGACAAGAAAAAGATGCAGTATCCACCCTGTTCTCAAGTTCTATATCCTTGACTGGGTACCTCGTGAATGCACAGCAGGTATTTGTACTCTCGTAGCCAAGTCTGTGTTCCCTGGCATGTCTGCCCTGTTGGACTCTCCTTGCTCCTTCCTGTTCCTCCCTCCACTCAAGGGATTGGTTTTCTTGAATCCTGCTTCAGGGCTGTAGTACTTTGTGTCTGAAGTTGTTATAATAAAGGTTTGCATGATATATAATATATCTGGATTAGATGATACAGCAAACCCCACTGACGCCCTTACGTGTGGTTTCCCTTTTCAAGATTCTATTTCCTGAGGTTATCTGCTAGCCAAAAATTTTAAATGGAAAATTGCAGAAATAAAATGATTCATAAGTTTTGAATCAGTTTTTTATAGTGTATTGTTACAATCATTCTGTTATTAGTTATGGCTATTAATGTCTCTCTCTGTGTCTTTTTTTTTTTTTTTTTTTTTTTTTTTGAGACAGAGTCTCACTTTATAGTGCAGGCTGACCTTGAACTCATTTTAGAGCCCAGGATGGCCTCAAATTCAT